TCGAAGACCGAGAGGTAAACTCCTCTCGGTTCCTGTTGAAGGACGAGCTGTAAATCCAGCTCGGTTAGTGTCGATCGTCGAGCGTCGATCGTCGAGCGGTAAAACCCGCTCGCTTATTATCGAAGACCGAGAGGTAAACTCCTCTCGGTTCCTGTTGAAGGACGAGCTGTAAATCCAGCTCGGTTAGTGTCGATCGTCGAGCGTCGATCGTCGAGCGGTAAAACCCGCTCGCTTATTGTCGAAGACCGAGAGGTAAACTCTTCTCGGTACCTGTTGAAGGATGAGCTGTAAATCCAGCTCGGTTAGTGTCGATCGTCGAGCGGTAAAATCCGCTCGCTTATTGTCGAAGACCGAGAGGTAAAATTCCTCTCGATTCCTGTTGAAGGGCGAGACGTAAATTCCTCTCAGTTCATGTTGAAGGACGAGCGGTAAAACGCCATCGGTCTGTCTTTACATGGAAAAAGTTCTAAAAAGAACTCTCTTCAACCACCGACAAGAGCGGCAGAAGCTCACCAATACAACAAACACACCCTCCCTCAAACTCATAAGTCCTATAGTTAACCACGGCTAAAGCGATATATATATTTTTTGTAAATAAATAAATAATCCCTTATAATATATTTTTTTTTAGTTTTAACATATTATGAATAACATTTGTTATATTACTTTAAAACATAATTAATTTTTTATTAATATTATTTCAAGAAAATTATTCAATATAAAGAATGATAAAATATATTTATATATTTATGATTATATATTTATCATTCTATATGTAAAGAATGATAAAATTTATTAGTATACGATGAATAATATATTAGTTTTAAATTTATATTATTTTTTTAATTACTTTATTTATACTAAATAATAAATATATTACTTAATTAAATTTTTTGTTTACTGGATTCTAATTTTTAAAAATTTTTATTACCTTTCTCGTATCAATTAATATTTTTATTTTCTTAATTTTATTTAACTATACTTAGTAATACATTTTAAAAATAATTAATAAAAATGGTCAAATATTTAAAAATTATATATATTTTGCTAGGAACATGGAATAATATTTATCATAAATTAACAAGAGAAATATATTTAAATCAATAAAAAGAGGATTATCTCCCCTTGTAGCAATAGCCTCTAGGAATAAACACAAATGCCAAGAATGTATACACGTATGAATCATCCATAAATCTTGAATTGATTGCTATGAATATGATTGTTGTATAATTAAAGTCAGAACTAAAAAAGAAAAGAAAAAGAGAGTGGAACTCAAACCAATACAAAAGACAAAATGTTTATTTAATTATTATATTATAAGTTATCTTTTGTCCGTAAAGCTACTCAATATATATAGAGACATGGGTAAATTTATATTTATTTCTTTCTTTATAAAGCTGTCCACTGTATTAATTATACCAGCATCGATAATGGTTGAAGAACAACCACCAGTAACCACAACCTTATATTTGACAAAACCAATGCTTATATAAATGTATTCAACCACCAACCTAGAGCAAGTGATCTTTGCTTACCAAAATATCTTATACTTTCTGTCCTCCAAAGTCCAAATTAATTATTAAAAATTCAAAAATAGCACTTCAACCGTTGGTGTTGTTCTTTATAGTTCGGCGATAGGTATGAAAACTGAAAAGTTAACAAACCTTTCACACTCTCATTAGTCTAGCACTAAAACTATTGTCTTGAATTGATTTGTCTCCAATTATTAATGAATGCAACATACCCTCTTTCCCTTTCTATCCGGGAGTTCCTTTTTCTTCCTTACCCAAAACAGAAAATCCACCATTGCATGTTTTTTTCACTATAAATTTGACACCTTTTTTGTGATTATCTTTGCTCATTCACCCATTTCAATTCCTTTCACGAATCCCACAAGTCATTGTACAAATGGGTTTTCGTGTGTTCTTGCTTTTGGCTGTCATGCTTCCGCTGTGTTATCGTGTTGATGCTGCTTGCTCTAATGGAAACTGCAAGGTTAGTGTACCCTACCTCATTTGCTTTGAATTATGCCTTTAATTTCTCTGTTTTCAACTTTTTTATCATATTCTTTCCGAATCTTTGATCAGCTAGATGATGAGTGCTCGTCTAATGGTGATTGTGAAGCCGGACTCTACTGCTTTTCTTGCCCATTTGGGTATTTAGGCTCTAGGTGTGTGAGATCTTCCATCACAGATCAATTCAAGCTCATTGTAAGATCCCAATTCCTAAATGTCAAAGTTCTTAACATGCTATCACCAAGTTATATAAATTCTGAGACACTTGGGGTGATTCAGATTCTAGTGGGGTAGGCCAGAAACTGATTCCAGTTCCATTATTTTATATTATCTGAACATTAACTGCCTCTTTTGGAAAAATGTAAAAAAAAATAAAAATCAGTAAGTTGCATTTTTTCAGTTTGGATACCAAATGCCAGTGCACATTCTCTGTTCTTTTGTTTCCGAATCTTTAAATTCAGCCTTTAGAGGTGTTTAATCTTAATCTGTTGTTTATTGATTGTTTTTTTCTGTTTAGAATAACTCCCTACCCTTCAACAAATATGCATTTTTGACAACGCATAACGCATTTGCCATTGATGGAGAACCATCACACACAAAAGTGCCTCGAGCTACCATCACTAACCAAGAAGACAGTGTAACCCAGCAGCTAAAGGTATATTATTATGTAATTCACTATTACTATGCTTAGCTTCTTCTAATTTTCCTGATGTTCTGCCTCTTACAAGAGCTTAAACTCACTATTTTCTTCCGTCAATGCTTCATTTGTAGAATGGAGTTAGAGCACTAATGCTAGATACATATGATTTTAATGGAGCGGTGTGGTTGTGTCATTCATTTCAAGGCCAGTGCTATGACTTCACAGCTTTTGTATGTAAAATTCATCTTCCCACTTCTGTTTCTTTACAAACACTAATGACCAACAAGTTCCTCTACACCAATACCCTAACTTTATAATCAACAAGTAGGAACCAGCTATAGATACACTGAAGGAAATTGCAGCTTTTCTATCAGCCAATCCAACAGAAATTGTCACGCTCATATTGGAAGATTATGTTAAAACGCCAAAAGGATTGACAAAAGTCTTCACGGACGCTGGTTTGATGAAGTTTTGGTTTCCTGTGACTAGAATGCCAAAGAAAGGAGGAAACTGGCCTCTAGTGAGAGATATGGTTGCAAAAAATCAAAGATTACTAGTGTTCACATCCGTCAGGGCTAAAGAACAAAGTGAAGGCATTGCATACCAGTGGAATTACATGGTTGAAAATCAGTGTAAGATCACACCAACTTCTAAAGCTTCTCTGTTCTTTATTGTGTAATAGGCACTGGTTAATTAAAGGAAAAATACCAAAAGGTAGAGTGTGCATTATGGTATACATTTATTCTTCCTTACATTGTCAGTTTTCATTTTTGATGTTCTTAAATTCATCAGATGGGGATGGTGGAAGAAAAGCAGGAAGCTGTCCAAGTAGAGCAGAATCTGCTCCTCTTAATGACAAGAGCAAGTCCTTGGTGTTGGTAAACTATTTTCGGTCTGCTCCATTTAAGGCAATCACATGTGAAGATAACTCTGGAGGTCTCATTGACATGCTACAAACCTGTTATGTTGCTGCTGGCAACAGGTGGGCTAATTATGTTGCTGTTGACTATTACAAGGTAGAACTTTGCCATATTTTTTATTTTCACTACTAATTTTTGTTGTTGAAGGATACACTGTTTTATTCATTCATGCCAATACCAATTATAATTTGGGGATCATTGTGCAGAGAAGTGAAGGAGGAGGTTCCTTTAAAGCTGTGGATACTCTCAATGGGAAGCTCTTGTGCGGTTGTAATGATGTTCATGCCTGTGTGGTAAAGATTTTCAGTCTTACTTTCTAGAAAGAAACATGAAGTTATTACATAACTGTCCAACAATTGAATTATGATTCTTTTCATTTTCAGCCTGGATCTACTTCACAAGCTTGCTCAGCAAAGAAAGCATAGCAACAAGCTTCCTCAATTGTCTAGATTAAGAGTCTTTTTAACTGTAGTAACTTGTTTTCATCCCCTTATGTCTGCTTCGATACAATACAAATACTATTTTATGCAGCCAGCCAGTTTTACCAGATTATATGTTTGGTTCACAACTACAAATGTGTAATACTAGTTACCAGAAAAGAATATCTTTTAAGGTGGAAGTGACATTTATAGGAAACCTTGGATGTTTCAAGATGAAGATACATATTTCACAAGCTTGTTCGGCATTGAAGAACCCCCTTTTTTTAATCATTGTCCTTAAATGCAAAGGATTGTACAAGTTCAGCTTGTTAAAACAACAAAGAAATCAACCGTAAAAAGAATGGTTGTAAAAACTCAACCTTCCTAAAACAACAATAAAATATCTGCGTTTGTTAGAACCATCGTATTAAACTCGTCTCATCAAAATCGTTGATCCAAGAAATGAAGTAATTCAATCTGCCTAACCAGACAATGGGTTTTTGGTATTGGAATACGCCTCGCTAATATCTGCAATTTCTTGTAGTTGCAGAGCATACTTAAGGTTCCCAACCACATCATTCATGGACGGTCTAAGCGTCCCGATTTCCGACAAACAGCTCACCCCAATCTTGCAAAACATTCTAAAGCATTTGGGCGCGATCTTCCCATTCAAGCTGGGGTCCAATATCTGTGCCATGGTTCCTTTTTGGTAACAGTACCTAACCCAATTACAAAGCGACTCTTGTATCGGCTCCGCGGTGCGGATCAGCGGCGGACGAGCGCAAAGTACCTCAAACAACACTACCCCGAAAGAGTACACGTCAGACTTTTCCGTCAAAAATTGCCGTTTATAATATTCTGGGTCTATATACCCAAAGCTACCCTTCATGGCGGTGTCGCAGACATGAGCCTTGGACTCAACTATGGGTCCAATTCTGGAAAGCCCAAAGTCCGAAACCTTAGCCACCCACTCCTCATCCAACAAGATGTTCGTGGTTTTCACGTCGCTGTGGATGATCGTGTATGTTTTGGCGCAACAGTGGAGATAATGAAGCGCCTGCGCTGCGTCGATACAAATCTGCAAGCGTCGCTTCCATGGCAACGGAGGTTTCTCGCTGTTGTAGAGATGGTCGCGGAGGTTGCCACGAGCCATGAAACTATAGACCAGGATCAGCTCCTCCTTGCTGTTGCAGTAACCGATGAGTGGAACGAGATTGCGATGGCGGAGCTGCGAGAGCAACTCGATCTCATTCAGAAACTCTTTAGCGCCCTGCTTTGAACCCGGTTTGTGGCGCTTGATAGCCACCTCCATCTCGTTCAGGAACTTTGTAGGGCCATTTGAACCCGGTCTGAAATGCTTAAGTGCCACCGGCATGAAAATTCTGCGGATGGTGCCCCTGTACACGTGGCCAAATCCCCCGACGCCGACGACGGCAGCGTCGTCAAAGTTGTTGGTGGCGGCTTTGATCTCGACGAGGGATAAGCGCCGGCAGATGAGCGTGTTGGTTGACAGTTCGTGTGCATTTGTTGGCAGTTGGTATACATTGGTTGAGAACGAGCGTAAATTGAACTTGGATAATAAGCACCAAACGACGGCGAAACCAACAAACGAGACCAAGACGAATACCACCCCTGCTATGATAATTTTCTGTTTTGTGGTGTAATTCGTTTCGTTTACGATTGATAAGACGTTCCTTCTCTTTCCGACCGCAAGACCGTTCTGCACGTTCGGTCTGGCGAGGTTGTTGGAGTCGCTGATTTTGAAGATCTCGGCACCGTTGAAGCACGGATTGCTCGAATTCAAATAAGGATGCAATTGGAGCGAGAGACTAACCTTTTCCTGAATATCCTTTTTGGGAATCAAAAGGACGAAATTTCTCTGCACAGCGAGACCTTTACCTTGGTTGCTCCATCTCATAACCTCAGCGTGATCCTCAGCCAGGTCGCTCCCTATGTAAATGCAGAACACCCTGTCAGCGATGTTAGTAATGTTCTGGTCAAGTTTACAAAAATGGAGGCTAACCAAGTAGTAGAAGCCAGAGTCAACGGGGAAGTCCCAAGTCAACTTAGGTGATCTCTTCGTGATACACGCTGTTCTGTAATAGAGATCGCTTGGGATGGAAAATAACTCGATTCCGTTGATGAGAGCGTGGGAGTTAGGCTGTGAGGGAGTGAAGCTGAGGTTGAGTGTCTCACTGTTGTGAACGTTGACCACGTATTCTCTGAACATGGTTTCCGAGTCTTCTGCGTCGGCGTTGAAACTGTAGAGAGTGAACTGGTTGCAATGAACGGTGAAGGATGCTTGTGTACGGGGAAAGGAAGGGTAAGAAGCTGGGTAGAAGAAGAGGCGAAGAAATAGGAGCCTGGGGTTACCGGGAAGGAATAATTGAACTGGGAACGAGACACACGTGCCGTGTTGTAGGGTACTTGAAGGGTGGAATTAGGTTGTGGTGTTGTTGGGTTAGCGGAAACGGTGTTGTCTTGATTAGAGAAGAACATTGAACCTGTGTCCCCTGTCCATGTTCTTTCACCGTCGTAGGATGTTCCAGTGGCGCCGCAACTGATTGTGAAATTGTTAACTGTGGTGTGAGCTTGGAGGTGCGTAAAGAGAAAGAGGTGGAGGAAGAATTTGAAGGGGGTCACACTGTTGAACCTCATTATTAGGGTTAAGTCGTATTGTGAAGGCTCGATGTTCTCGTTTACTATAAGTTTCTAGGAGTTGTTGAGAAGCACACAAAACAAAGGAAGGATCGTTGTACTGAGCGAAACCTGAAAGGAATTTCGTCTCAATCCTCATATTTGGAAATCTAGTCTAATTATGCAGATACACTAACATTTCAGTTTTTATTAAATACTATATAACACTAGTCGTAGTGCTTAATATTTCTTTCACTTAAAAAATAAAATATTTAAAATAATCACCTAAGTAAAACTATTCCAATTTTATTAAATATTATGTAACTTTTTTATTTTAAATATAAAATAATTTAGGATAATAAGGTGTACCTATCTAGTTAACAAATATATTAAAGAATTTGATTTAACAAAACTCATTTAATATAATTTGATTTAATAATATCTGTTTTGATATAAAAGTTGATACCGAGATATGAACCTGATGAGTCACGTCCTTTCCTCCTAGAATGTTGTTATCTTCACGTCTTCTTCCTGTTTAGAATACTCCGGGGAGAAGGGAGTGTGTATCTGCGAAGGCACTCCGACGCTCAAGTCAGAAAAAGGGAATTGTAGAACTCTTTTAGTTCAATACTAGAAGAAAATGATAATTTTCTCCTCTTCTCATTCAGAAAAACGTACCTTTTTTTCCCTTGCTTTTCATATTTAACCTAACGATAAAATAAACCGTTTACCTAAAAATCCGGTTGGTTAGAGAACTTGACCATTTGGAATCGACATATACATACGATCGCTATAATACGATCGTTTAATGATTGATGCCAAGAGGGTGACTCGCGGGCCAATCGCCAACCGCTTAGTGTAATCGATGTATAATACGATCGCTTAACGACTAATGCCAAGAGGGGTCATGGCAAGCATGTGGTATTCCTAAGCGGTAGTTCTACCTAGTGGATGGACGATCGTTCAGGAATGATTGTAAGACGGCTCACTATTTTGCGCTTTATTTATCCTCAGTGGTCGCCTGGGTTACCGGTCGACTACCTCAAATATCCTACTATACAATATCTAAAGATATTGTTGGTTAAATTATTGTAATATATGTTGAAATCTTGATAATTTAATTATATTTCAAATATTCCTTAGTATAATGTATCAACAAAATATATGATGTATTTAATTAGTTTATATTATTTTTTATTATCATATTCAACCTTTATATGATAAATTTGTGTTATATATTCTTGATTTTGTGACTAATTTTGTAAGGGTTTATAAACTCTATAAATACATGTGATTCCTTTAAGGAATGACATACACTCTCTTACTCACTTATACACTCATATATATTCAAACTCTTTTACTTAAGCATCACAGAGTTTTATTGCCTATGTTCCATATGGATCTTCCTCTGTGTTCCAACATTCAGGACCCCAATATGGATCTTCTTACTCATATATGTTTTATCACTCAAGAGCATTCATTAGGAATATTCAAGCCATTTAGATTTTGTCACTTGTTAGGAGTTCGGTAAAACTTTATCTAGGATGTAGCAAGCTAGCAGTGGGAGGGGCAAAAAGGTGTGTTTTATCTACCTTACCTAAGGATGTCGAAAACTCTTAAAATTATGTGTATGTATGTACAATGAAAATTTATTAAATTTTAATTAGGTAAACTCATTTTTATAAAGCACATGTTGATAAATAGTAAAATATAACATTAAATATATTAAAAAATAACACAACTTTTTTTACTATATAAGCTTGTAGTAGGTGCTTAGAAGCATATAAAAAGGTAGGAAGGTTCGGTGTATTGAGAGCGAAACCTAAAAGAAAGTTGCGAGGAGTGGAGTGACGACTCTCAATCCGCGTATATATGAAAATTCTAGAAGAATCTCTCTTTCAGTTTGAACTGAGAAAGTGAGGGAGATGATAGTGATGGAAACTTGACTTGCTATGTTAGATATTTGTACACCTAACATATTAAATTCAACTTATTAAGTTAGACGGTTTCGATAGATATTTTTGGATCGAGAGACTAACATGTTGACGTGTCTGGGTCGCTCGTTGGTTTCCAAACTCCTGCTATTGGCCGATCGGTGTTGGCACAAACCGATTGGTCTCCTTCTTGACGAGGGAGGATGTACCTGCAAAAGATACTCCGACGCTCAAGTTAGGCGTGTGATTTGAAGAGCCTCGGCTCTTAGTTGAATATTTAGTGAATGATTATCACTATTGGGTATTTGAGAGTAGCGTAGGTGAATAATGCGTAAGTGGAATGTACCTGGCTTTCGGCCCTGGCTTTGTATTTATAATTTATCTCATGGATCCTGAGCTGATATTAGCCCAATAAAATATAAACAGAATAAGATGTAAATAGATTACCTGAAAATCCGATTGGTTGTTTATAACCACTCGGTCAATATTTTATACGATACATTATGCCCCTAAGTCCGAGTTAAGCGTTTGGCTTTAGCCGTGGTTAACTATAGGACTTATGAGTTTGAGGGAGGCTGCGTTTAACGAACTAAGAGCGTTTTACCGCTCGTCCTTCAACATGAACCGAG